TAATGCACAGACCAGGAGCAGACATCGCCACTCAGTCCCAAGCTCTGACAATGTTACAACTTTCACAGTACAGCATAAATATTCAATAATAAATAAATACGAACAACTTTCAAGCACACACATAGACACACACGCACATACACTCCCATCAGCCTACATATAAAAACTAATTTCCAACAAATGCAACTTTTGCAACTGCAGTCGACAAATGAAGCCCAAGACCAATAGCCCTGCAGCTCGCACATAGACGGGCAGAGTTGTCTGCCTTCAGGAGTGGGCTGAAAAGGTCTCCACTCGAAATTCAATTCAAAGACGAACAGACGAACAGACTGGCAGACAGAGAGCTAGAGCCAGCAGACAAGGAGACAAGCAGCTAGTCAGCAGGCAAAGTAGCGTATTAATAGCGACAAGCCACTTATATGTACCCACTACCTATATACTTACTATACATTCGTAAACATGCACACACATGCAGAATATATAAGATTTGCTGCCATAAAACTTCCGCTAAGACAAAGTTCTCTGTGTGTTAGCTAGAAGGCGGATTGCACTCAAAACGGATTTCCTTGTTATGCACAAGTACGAGTATACGAGTAAAGGAGCCATTCCATTCTATACGATTCACTCACATACATCGAACGCTCTGACTGCGCTTACTTTGCAAAAACTTGGCTGCCTAATGCAGTGGTTAGTCGTTTGGTTTCGATATTGGGTCGAAGTGGTTTAGGTGGTTGATGTGGCTGAAGTGGATGAGGTGGCTGCGTGTTCACACTGACACTTGTAAAACGCACGCGTAAGTTGCGCAATTAGCACGCATCAATAGACACGCTCCTGCACTTCACTAGCGCACAAACAATAAGAAATATGTAGGCGCACAGGCACCACTGGAAAATGCTAATCAACTCACAAAAGGGTGCCCTCAAGTCCCGTACATTAGCATACTATATACTATAGAATGCACGTTACAACTTACAATCGAAAGATTCTAATAATTCTCTTAAATCTATTGTTGATTGAAATTAAAATATTTGCCTCCATCAATTCCAGTATACAATTCAGAAGATCAAACCGCACTGGAAGCTATCGAAAACGTTTATTAAACAGACAGCAAAAACTACGAAATAAAATGTCATATACAAGTATTTCACGAAAAGGGACGATCCTCTGAATACAGGAAAGAGTATGTTGCCTTTCTGTTGGATAACATACTGAAAATAATGGTTCAAATTACTTGAAGTTCGAATTTGGACAGATATTAAAATTGACTTTATCAAGGAAGATGACATTACTTTTCAGTTAGAACTGTAAAAATGTGCGTCGAATATTTGTGAATTGAATCGTTTTTTTTATTTATATACTGAATTAATTGCGATTTTTTGTATCGCAATGATTTTTTCAAGACAATATTTAGTACGTTACATTTTAGTATTATAACTGAAATTTGTACACCCTTTTTCTTAAAAGTTAAAAACAACGATTTGGAATTATAAACTCTTCGCAGCTAAAATAATTAATGAAAAATAATTTATTTGCAGTCAAGTCTGTGGCATCTGTTAAATCAATTTTATCTTTTATTTTTCATAAATTAATTGTTAGTTGTATATTCTAGAAAACTTTTACCCCAAAGATATTAACTAATATTATTGGAAATTTTTTCTTTTCAAAATGAGTGTTTCTTTTTATATAAGCCAACATCCCACATTTTCTGTATTCATTTAATAAATAAACTGAGTTATTGAAACAATTGTACCAATTTCATATCCAATATTTTGCTAATTTGGTAACTTGTTGGTCCTTTTAAGTGAACGCATATTTCGTTATGCTTAAGTAAATATGTCCACACATGTCGTAGTTGGAGTAACATCAACAACAACAACCAAAAATGGTAAGTGCCATCGGATCACTATAATATATCATAGTCAAGTCCAACTGTGTAACTGCCAAGGGGAAGGAAAGAGAAAAAAAACAAACTGAAAATAAAGAAGAATGAACTACAATGGCGTCCAAGTGCTTGCCACAGGGGGGCGTGTTACAAATGAGTGCGTGCTGCCAACGCCAACGCCAACGCCAGCACCAGGACCAGCACAAGGCCCAGCTTGGAGTTGCAGGCACCAAACGACAAGCGCCAAGCGCCAGGTGGTCGCAGGCAAAAAGGACCGGGGGGCCTGGCGGAACATCACCACGCATGCTGAAACTCTTGGCACAATTAATGTATGGTAAATTTATTTAATTGACGACTAGCATGCCATAGTTTACGGCACACACACACGAGCATCAAATGGCATACAGTAAAAATTGCTCAAGAGCTGTAAAATATATATATTTGAGAATGTGTGTGTGCATGTATGTGTGTGTGATGAAGAAGCAGGCACTTGGCCACTCGTTTGTTCGCTTGTTAATTGCACTACAAAAGTGCTTGGCTTGTTGGTTTTTGCGAGCAGGCCAGTCCTGCTGTTACTGTTGTTGTTGTTGTTGTTGTCGATGGAGCGCGTCGAGGTACTATATCGCAGCCATGCCTGCCAAAAGCAGACATTAAAGTTTTACGCCATGCAGCAATAGCTGCAGGAATAGCAGCAGAAGCAGCAGCAACAAAGCCCCCAAGCAAATTGAAGTTTTTTGCGTGAACGTAAAAGTTTTCTCGAGCTTAGCTTATTTCATGCTCATAAGCATAACTTCGTCGCATTTAAATGGGAAACTTTGGACGGTCGAAGCAGCCCTCTTCCAAAGACTATGGCAAAAAGTGGCATTACTCGTGTCGTACGGGGAAAAGGCCCAGCGCGTGCCACGCCGCACAAAAAGAGCAGCTGCTGCCTTAGAGTCGTGCTTCGACATCGCCTGCAGTGCGACAGCAATAATTTGCAGGCAATTCGTTTTGGCCACTGGCTTAAAGGAGCTGGGCATGCAAACGAGTATGTACTCGCACATGAATACTCGCATTGTTCAACGGCATGTGGCTGTTAAAAGTTAAAGTCGAGCTCACGCCATGCTAGCCACTGCATAATGTACCGGGCCATTAAAATAGCCAAACATATTCTGCATATGTCGCTGGAGCAGCAGAATCTGCTAAAATAACGATGCAATACAAAAGAAAATGCGGAACGGAAAATTGTATTGCACCGTGGAAACAACGGGTGACAAAATTAAATTTTGCACTCAATTATCAGTTTATTCTATTAATGATGAGACTACCTCGAATGTTGGCATTATCTATATGTATAATTGCAAATTAAAACTGATAATTTGCCATTCCCTTCTGTCGCTCTCTCAATATTATTGAAAAGATGCTTACAGCTTAATCCCCTCATTACTGACATGCTTACATTATTCTGTATATATTTGTTTTATTGAGGTGCACATACAAAGCAACATTTTCAATTGAATTTTGCTTAAGTATACATTAATAATATTGGAGTTTTTAAGCTGCACGGATGCTGGTTGAAATTTTGTAAAAGATATTTCTATTATAATTGTAAATTCGATTTTGATGTCATGTCAAAACTCTGTGTGTGATATCTCCAATAACCAGAACACTGAAAAATTGCTAAATGGTGCCAATGCACTTCAATTACTTAAACATGAAAACCAAAGCCGGCAGAGCTGAGAGACACATTGCTGAATTTCTGCTTTGGTCGGTAGTCGAGTTCGAAGGATCCAAAAAGTGATTTAGCGGCAAATGCCTGCACTTTTTGCTAATTTTATATATTTATATTTCATTTTTAAAGAACAAACACACACACAATACATACTAGACTTGCAATTCTACTATTTCTAATAATTGATTTTATGCGAGTATGCTGTGGTCCGACACAGGCTTTAACCTGTTTAAATATTAATCCTTGCCATATTTCTGCAGCTCTTTGGAACCAGTTACTCTATTACCGGTGTGTTCAATTCTGTCTGCGGCTTGTCTATGCAAATTTCAATTTATAATCAATTATTTTAATGTTAACGCCTTGATCGGCAATGGGTTCGTTTCGTATCGTTTCGCTTGCTTGCTTGCATGCTTGCTTTGCTGCTGCAATGCTTTGTTAACCTGTCCGACACATTTAAATGCAATTTAATGCAATTTATAGCTTACCCACGGCAGAAGCTATTTATACATAAATGGTTTATTATGCTCGCATGTGTAATGCACAAACATATGCATTGGTCATGTTGTTCTTGCTGGGCCATGCCGCACAATGGCAGCTCTTATTAAAAGCGGAAACAATGCGTGCTTCCGCTTCAACTGTGCTTGTATGTTGCATGCGTATGTGTATCTGTATCCGTATGTGGGCTTGATTGTGTGTGCTTGAGTATGTGTGTGTGCGTGTATTGGTGTACGACCGCAAGTTGAGTTTCATTTGAGCTTCGATATAATGTACATTATTATTCATGCTCTTGTCGTTGTTGCTGCGGCTGATAAAAGTTAACAATTTATAGCACACCACTTGCCACAATGGGCGTGGCACGTAGGAAGCTCACGGCCCAAGCACTTGGCCCTCGCATTTAAAATGCTGGCCATAAATAAAAATTGTTCAATTAACATTGCTGGTTGGTTGGCAACAAAGACTGAAGGAATTGCTCAAAGAAGCCACCGATATGTGAAAATGATGCATAAATGCTCGGCGTCAACACCGCGTATACGTAATGTGGTCGTAATTAATGGTTTATTGTTGCCCAATATTTGACTCATTTGAGAATCTGTTGGCGAAATAAATATCCAATAATATCTGCATGCATTTTTCTTGGAATAAAAGCATTTTACAGAAAATGTTCGTAATTAAAATGCACGAAAATTCCTTAACATTGTAACGATCCAATTATGCAAAAATAAAAGATCCCCAATTGAATTTTCGGCAACATATTTTGTGGGCTTCTTTCTCAATTCTTAAAGGACAAGTTTTTTGCGGAATTTAAGATTTAAGTTTTCGAATGCAATTTAGAAGGAATTGCCATCAGGAGCAGCATAGCAGCACGTGCTTACCTCGATTTGAAGTCACCTCGGCCATAAAATCATACGAATGTCTTGTGAGATCTGCAAGAAAAAATAGAAGGAGAAAATTTATTGTTGAGTTTGCTGTCCACAATTCGTTTTGCAATTTTCGCACAGCACAATTACAAACACACACCCACAGATTAGATGGCAGAACTTTGATTTCTTCCATTTCTTTAGCTCGAAATGAAAAACCACACAACAACAGGAACTACAGGAAGTTGCCTTCAAGCAAATCAACATAAAAATCGCATTTGTCAAAAGTTTAAAGCTCAAAAAAGCACACATACATATGCATTCATGTGTATATGTATGTAAGTATGTATGAAAAAAGAAGCCACAGCCGAGCCAAACAGACAAAAATCTTATATATCAATCTGCAGGGCACACAAACAGACAGACATACAGATGGATAGATAGAGAGACAGATACACCCACACATTCAAGCAAACGACTTTTAAAAGATACACATACGTCTCAACGAAGGCTGTGTTATCATTTTCCAACTACTTTGTCTCGGCATTTTGTGTTGTGATTTATTTCAAATTGCGTTTTTGTGCTCCCTTACCGAGAAGGAGTAGAAAAAATAATGTGTAGGGATCAAAGCGGAGGATAAGCGCTTGTCCAGGCGTTCGCTAAACTCATTTGACCACTTTAATGTCGTTTTAAAAACAACAAACTGGCACTAAGGGTAACTCAACGAGTACATACATAACTGTCAGTGTGTACATATGTATGTATGACTCTGGTGTGTATGTGTGCGCCTATATTGGCAGCGGAAGCACAGAAAACTTACCACACATACACAGACACTTGCAGTGTGACAGTCAGGGGGCAAAATATGCTGTCATCACGATTATCCTTAACGTCGTATGGCTGCCAATGCCAGTTGTTTCCTTTTCCGTTATATCATGGCACTACAACACCCATACAGAGAGACACACACACACACACACAAATCTTCTTGCACATATTCACACATTTGAGGATGTGTAAGAATTTGTAAAACGAGCCATGCTAGTTCCCTAACTGAAAAAAAGAGGAGGAAAACTTGTGATAGAGGCGACAGAAACTTCAACGACAACGCAAAAGTCGCAGCCAAAAGCAAAACGCAAAGAGGCAGCGCCCAAACGGTTTCTTGGTTCCCCTTTGCTCCCCTTCCACTAGTCGAGTGCGATGCAGACATTAAAGGGTTCGGCGGTCCAGCTACCGTTATTTGCTGATTTCTTGCTGCGTGACTAGTCAGTATGTTCCCCCTTTTTCGGCTGTCCTTTGTTGTCTGCTAATTTCATTGGAATTTTTGTTCTTTTTTATTTCTCTTATTTTTTTTTCTTTCTGCCTGATGTCGAACTTTGCTCGTTTTTGGCATGTATAATTTTTCTTCATTTTTTCTTTGCTGCCGCTTGCAAATTGAAATTTAAAATTTATGCAAATTATGCTGTCAACCCTTAGGGCTGTACGCCAGTTCGTGCCGGCCAGGAAATGGTTATAACCACACACAGACACAGACACAGACACAGGGACAAACACACTCAGGCACAGGCACAGACACAGACCCGCCACTGCAGATAGTCAGACAGACATACAGAGGGCAACGCAATGCGCATTGGCAATGGTAAAAAGTTGAATTTGATTTTATTTGGCAGTGGGTGTTGAAAATTGCACAAGTCAAATTAATCGAAATTAAACCTAAAGCTTGGATATAAAACGCACAAAACGACAAAATGGAAAGAGAATGCGGGTATTGGCAACATTTTTATAGCACACTTTGGGGCGACGCGTAACTGACTGCGGTGATCCGAAAAGTGATTCGTTCGCTAGCGTGATCTGAAGCGATTAATTGATAACTATAATTCAGATATTGTTAGTGAGACTTTTATAGCATATTTCGTGCTCACGGCCTCTTTACCGGCGACGATGATTAACAACAGATTAACTAATTGAAGCCATTAGCGAAGGTGTTGTGCAAATTAATTAAAGTGATTCTACAAGGATCACTGCAGCTTGTTTTCTAATAAGTCGATTCTCTTTGGTTGTCTCATAAAATAAACATCTCATTATTCTATTTTAATAATACATATGTACAATTGAACAGAAATAATAATTATTATATATAATAGCATTTATAATAACTAAAATATAATAAACACATATAATGGTAGTATTAATAATAAATATAACTACTACTATTTACAATTTTGCAATCACAATTTTGCAAATCGTCATTTAAAAATATCAAGTTATCCAAAATAAAATCCTTAAAATGATGGATAGCCTTCACTAGCACTTCTCCACTACATATTTACACCAAATAGCAAAAGGTTGAATAGTTGCGGAAAGGATTGCTCGCCTAAAAATTAGGTTCAATAGCAGATGTATGTACTCTACATACCTGCATATAAATAATCTATAATTTCTAAATAATTAAAACTTGTATTAACTTAGTTTAGCATTTAGTTAGGTTTAAGTTATTAAGCTTTATGGATTTTCTTGTATTTTTTCCCGCTTTGTTTAACTTTTTCTCCATTTTATTTATTAAAGTAGAAAAGGCTAAGATGCCTGGACTCTTACCATTAACATATCCTTGCCTCACTTGTAAATTCATAATAATTTTAAGAAAAGTTATTAAATTGAAATTGAATAATAATAATTTTAATTAAAATACAAATAACATAATAAGTATTAAGGGTAAATAACAATTTAAAAAAAAATAATAGTCGTAAAAATAATAACAAAAATAATGTTAATATGAAAATGGTTATTAAACATTTAATCACTAATGGTAAACATGTTATTATTATAATGATAATTATAAAATAATAAAGATTATTATAATAATAAAGAAATAATGTAATATATAAATGTGTAATAAAAGATTTAACCAAAAGCGTAATCAAGTCGATAATAAATGTGATATTAAAAGAACACATCGAAAGTGTTGTACGAGTATAATATAGTTCTATGGTGACAAAATCACGTGTTGTGGATTCTTCGAGCATCACCAGTGCTAGCTACATACCCACTAACAAGACACGCCTAGTCGAGCCACACACGCTCACATACGCAGCCGTAGCCATCCAGCTGCTTAGCATTAGGCCAAAAAAAAGTTTATCTTAAAATCGTGGCACGCCATGCAGTCGCTTAATCACTGTCCAGCACGCAGAGGCCTGATTTAGTTTCGTGTGTGAGACTCATACACACGCACACATGTGCACACAGACACGTGTTACACGCTATTACACACAAACACATTCACACATATGTGACACATGCAACGGTCATTGAGCAAAAGGCAGCCGCTGTTGCTCCCGCCGCGTGCAATTAATTAAAAACAAACAAATTTCAAAATGCACGACAATCCGGGCCGGGCAGCAAGCATGTCCCAGAGTTGGCCCATCGACTGGTTGCTTGGATGGTTGGTTGGTTGGCGGGTTGGTTTGGCTGGAATAGCAAGAGCAAGCGCCAAAAACTGTCAATGAACAATGCGCTCCTGTGGTAACCAGGCGACTGACCGGTGCTTCCTTCGGCTGCAGGACTGGACAAAGTTGCTGCGCTAAGCGTTTTTTAATGCAGCGCGCCAGATTTTGCGACCAAGAGACGCCTGAGAGAGACACCCTGCCCCGTCCCGTCCCTACTCTCATCGCATCATACCGCATCGCTAGGTCCCTTTATGTTCCCTTCCCATTTCATATAGCGCATACCCTGCCAGCATGCCAGCACTCCAACCTGCCTGCAATGGCCTCAGAGCTGCGTCTCGTTGTTAATTTCGTTTTATTATTTTGCAGTTTTTTATTTTTTCTTTTTGTTTTTTGCTGTCGTTCGGTGCCGTTGCTGCCGCTCTACTTTGTAAATATTAAATTATGAAAAAAAAAGAATAACGCCAACGTTGGATGCTCCACAGTTTCCCAAATGGAAACAAGTTGTGCAGATTTCGGCAGCCAGGGCCATAAGCTGCAGGCAGGCAACGGCAGCGGCAGCGGTAGACGACGATGACAGCCCAGAAAAACAGATAACGGCAGTAATAACTGCAGTTACGTACAGTTGCCTGGCGGCCAGGTAAGCCGGAGTTTGGGTTTTGAGCAACTGCAGCCATTCGTGTGTTTTTTCTGCTTAGGCGCAAAAAGCGGGGCAGGTGCAAAAGGGAGTGTTAAATCGCCTTTACGAGCACTATCCTGTACATGAAATGAAAGTGCTCGAAACGCTGTCGCAAACTGCGTATGTGTAATGCGCTTTAATAACGCAATTCTTGCCTTTAACAATTACGTATACAGCATGTGTTGCCGGCTGCGTTGCGAATGTTGTTAAAACTAGAGAAAAAGGAGCAATGGAAAATGTACAAAAAAAAACCAATGAAAGAGTTGACGCCCATGACAGCAAGACAACTAGCTATATGGCCACATTGCTATATGGCTACATGATATGCCAATGATGGTCATCGTGCTAACTGCTTTAAGTGGGCGCATGTCCATGACTGCAAAGGCACTTCAATACTGGCAAAAAAAAAAAAAAAAAAAATGGCATAAAACAACAGAAAATGCTTGGTAAAAAAAGTCGACGAGCGACAACGAAAAAGTTGCGACCCAGACTCCAGACAGAGACGCTCATTCCCAGACCAATTTCGAGGCACGACTCTTTGCTGCCATTGTCGTTTGTCGCATGCAATAAGTGCTAGTAGAGTGGCAGCACTTGAAACATACACAAACAACCAACCACATACGTAGCCACACACACTCACACACACACACACACACATGCTCACCCTTATTCAATTGGCCAGCTGCATGTGTTTTTGGCGACGCTTCCAGTTTCACTTTGGCCCCACGGACGGTGTCAGGCGACCTGACGCGACCGTTTCCGCCGCCACCAGCAGAAGCAGCAACTACAGCAACAGCAGCACGGAAGTGGCGACTCGTTGTTTGCCCATTGTACGAGCAGTAGCGAGGCCGAGGCCGCCAGCCATATCCATGGCCAGTGGATGTGGATACGACCAGGCTGCCAGCTTTTAGCGTTTCCATGCGGATTTGTGCTGCGGCCTCTGCATA